CCTCCCCCTCCTCTCTCCTCCCTTCCTCCCTTGTCTCTGTTCTTGCAAATTGTAGGTAATTTAAATGTAGATTTTAGAATGTACACATTGTAGAATGTAGGTTTTTTAATAGAATAACTTTTTTTTGACTATTTTAGGTGTTTTGAATAAAATAGAAGTAAGAAAATTTGGGGTAGAACTAGGGTAGTAGAATTTTTAGCAAGTGTTTAATAGAAATAGTTTATTTAGTAAGTGATTAATATAACTAGTTTATTTATATTAAGTGCTTAATAGAACTAGTTTATTTAGTAAGTGCTTAATAGAACTAGTTTATTTATAGTAAGTGATTAATAGAACTAGTTTATTTAGTAAGTAGTTAATAAAACTAGTTTATTTAGTAAGTAGTTAATAAAATGTTTTTCTTCATATTTTCAACCATTGAAATGCAATGACCATCGATAAGTGGCCTATGGTTTGCCGGAGTGTTGATTAATTTCCGTTTCGGCAAATTTCGGGCGCTCGATATGTCCTTTTTTAGCAAAGGTCATGCCGTATTTTTTGGGTTTTGCCGTCGAGTTATAATCTTTGAATTTTGAACACCGGAGATGTCTGATGACGATGGGATCCCGGAGTGCGGGTACTGCTACGATGACCAGGGTTTGTGCGACAGGTTTCCTCACCTGCAAAATGATAGGCTTTTCACCATGAAGCTGGAAGAGACCTTTGATGTTTGTATGGTACACAACGACAAGCATTTCATCGTAATTAATATCATCACTTGTGCTTCTTTTGTTCAACGTGTAATTTATGGATTTTTTTTTCAATTCGATTAGTACATCCCATGTCATGCTATACCATATGTATTTGAGAAGCCTGGTTTAGGTTTAGATGACTTTGAGAATGTGGAGACGAGGAGGGCTCACTTAAGAACTAAACATGGTTATGAGTTTCTGGTTAAGCTGTACAATATGGTCGATCGCTCCCATTTTGGTTGCTCTAATTGGGAAGCTCTCTGCAAGGCATATGTATTTAAGGAGGGAATGCGAATAAGATTTGATATTCGTCCCAAAGATTATGATGATGATGATAATATCGACATCTGGGTGGTGTGGATATGCTTCCAGTTTTGCCTAGATGTGAGTTTGTTAAACTAATTTGTTAAGTTTAGTAATTTATGTTGTTAATTTAAAAATATTTGGTGTTCGTCGGTACTAAACTTATTTATTTATAATTGTCAACTTATTTCTTATCTTCAAGAAATACTCGGAAGGTAGTAGACATCACATACTACAGCTATGACTCCAAGCTTAATTGTGAGGAGAAAGGTTATCTTGTCTCATTCATAGAAGATGTTGAGACCTTTAAAACTGTGACGCCCCCGATCCAATCGTACACTAATCATACACGTAAATGTGTACGATCAAGATCAGGGACTCACGGGAAGATATCACAACACAACTCTAAACACAAATAAAAGAAACACAAGCTTCATATTACAAGCCAGGGGCCTCGAGGGCTCGAATATAAAAGCTCGATACACAAGCGAGTCAGCGGAAGCAACAATATCTGAGTACAGACATAAGTTACACAATTTTTGCCTTAAGAAGGCTAGCACAAACATCAACGATCGAAGAGGCAAGGCCTCCTGCTTGGGACCTCATAACTACTCCTGGTCGTCGGCGGGCTCCACGTAGTAGTAGGCACCCTCGGGGTAGTAGCAGTAGTCGGCGGGGGTGGCATCATCTGGCTCCTGGGATCCACCATCTGGTTGCAACAACCAGAAAGAAGGAAGAAGGGGGAAAAGGGGGAGCAAAGCAACCCTGAGTACTCATCCAAAGTACTCGCAAGCATCAGATCTATACTAAGTATGCATTGGTATCAAATGGAAGGTTAGTATCTGTGGACTGAACTGTAGAATGCCGGAATAGAGGGGGAAGGCCTAGCCTATCCAAGACTAGCATCTTCAAGCAGCTCCAAGCATCTTGCAGCATGTAGAAGAGTAAAGAATAGCAGTTTATAATTAACAAGCATGTTGTAGCATTAACGCCCAGAGATCCTTCCTTGACTCCCTGCGAGAAAGCAATCCCGGGGCCACATATCCATCACATATCAAGTATCCATTTCTAGTTGTATAACATCAGGATACAAGTCTGAATGTCCATTATCATGGACATGGCTATTAATAGATAATCTTCCCTGCAGGGGTGCACCATGTTTTCCAACACACTTGATTACTCTGGCCGGACACACTTTCCTGGGTCATGCCCGGCCTCGAAAGATCAACACGTCGCAACCCTACCTAGGCTCAGCAGAGAGGTCCCCGCCGGTCTACATCCTAAGCACTCCAGGGTCTGGGCCCATCGCTCGTTGCACTCCGGATCGTTGCAGGGCGGGTCCAGGCTCCACCACTACCGGATGGTGCCGTCCCAGCTGTGCCACATTGCTGAACTGGACGTCTAACAAAGCTTCGGCTGATACCACGACGCCGAGGCCCATAACTATTCTCGCGTGGTGGTTGGTGTGTAAAGTCGGAGGCCAACTCAGAACAAATAACCAAACCTTTTAGTGCATTATTAAAAAAGAAGTGATGGCTGTCGGGACAAGTCCGGAGCTATCACCCCCTCCCGGGTGATACCGCTAAACAGCCAGCCGCCACCGTCACATCGCACGGGTGCTCTCCAGGCCCGCCTGACTTCCACAACGGTCTCAAGTAAAGTGAAGGTAACTGTGTGTCCAGACATCAAGGGGAAAACCCGAGGAATCACCCCCGGTGGATTCCACTCGATGTAATCATCAAGTTGAACGTAAGAGGAACCATCCTCGAGGTTCACACTTGAGGTGTTGCATGACAGAGCCGTCTCAGGAATGCTGAAGGAGGAACCACCCTCGATGACCATGACAAAATAGCTGCACTACAAAGATCTCATCAGGAGTGATGTATGAGGTTCCACCCTTGGCACACGATGGTAACTCTGCAGAGTCGAGCAACAAAAAGGGGCATGATGTGATGTGAGGTGTCGGGCTCCGGTCGTCGATCACGTTGATCGAGTCATCGATGATGAAGCACGGACAACAAGGACAAGGTGGGGGTCACTGATGGATCACTAGCCAACCTATACTAAGCCGTTTAGGATAAGCAGGTAGGTAATAATAGCAGGTACAAAAGCAGGCTATGCATCAGAATAGGAGCAATCAATTACAGTAGCAAAATCTAATGCAATCATGAGAGAATGGAATGGGCAATATCGGGATGATCAAAGGGGGGGGGGGCTTGCCTGGAAGCTCGGCTAAAAGGGAAGAAGGGTCGTCGTCGACGTAGTCGATCACAGGGGCATCAACAGCGGTCTCGGGGTCTACCAGAGAGAAGAGCGGGAAGAAACAGTAAATATAACGCAATAGATGCAACACAGATGTATGACGGGGTAACACGCAGGGCTAGGAATGTTCTAACGCGGTGCTACACGATACTGGTGAAGTGGGATAATATCCGAGAAGGCTTTCCCGGAGTTTGGCATTTTCGGACAGATGAAACGCAGGTGGACGGTTGCATGCTTGCTATACTAGGGATATGTGGCAGACGAACGGATGGCTTATTTGGATTCGTCTCATCGTTCTGAGTAACTTTCATGTAGAAAACATTTTCATCCGAGTTACGGATTATTTTATATGAATTTTCAAAGTTTTAACAATATTCTGAAATTAATATTAATTCGAAAATAAACACTAAAATGCTACGGGTACCCAGCTCTAAGTACACAGAAGTGTACCAGAGGCTGACAAGTGGGCCAGGGGGTCCCAGTTGACCAGTCAATGTTTGACTGGTCAACAAGGGGTGGGGTCCCCCTGTCATTGACTACTAACAAAT